TAGCTATACTAAAGCGTTCTTTTGTTTTCAGCTACAAGCACATCCTTTAAAGTTGACCTGCAAACTTTTTAAATATTTAGAAAAAAAAATTCTGTTGCTAGAACTATTATTCCCTACAGTGCAACATCTTTATTCTCCATTGGATGCCTTTGTGGAGGATTCTAAACCTGACGATACATTAACCGGTAAATCTCAGGGTGCCTTAGAGTTCTTTTTTCTCTTGCTGATGTGACTAGTCTTTCGTCTAACAGGAATTTATTGAGCACAATCTGTATGCACACCACTGGAAGAGGTACATAGAATTATGGCACGATTTCTGCCCCCAGGAAGCTTAGAGTCTGGGAGAAGAGTTCATATGTCATGTTCAAGAGCACCAAGCAAAAATTTAAAGTATTAAACAGAAAACAAAAATCACCATTAGAAGTGCTGGATGCTTGGTGACATTTCTATTTTGAAATCCGTACTGTATGCACGTCACACCATCTTCAATGCAAAGTTTCTAGAATGATATACATTGCCGAGGTCATGTAACTTTGTTAGGAAGTGAGAAAGCAACAGAAACTCAGTAGAGATTCTTTGCAAATAGGCATCCGGAAGGTGAACATTGCTGTTAGAGGATCAGATATAGTGAGCAAGCCATAACCCATCGGCCACACACATTGACAGTTCTCAGAGAAAAGCAGGAAACTTGGAAAGATCCAGAAAGATACCAAGCTGCTTCTTTCCCTCTGGGATTAGTTACATGGTAACTATTCTGACCTGAAAAGGGGCGAGTTTGATATTCCAACATTTGAACCAGCCATCTGCAAGAACTAGCACCTGCATATACACATACACACGCTCTCTAGCCCTAGTCCAAAGTGAAGGGTCTCCTTTCTTATTGTAAATTCATCTTTATTCTCAGTTGAGAAGTTTGTAAACTTCTTTCTTCACTGAGGAACCCTGTTCTGTTTTCACCCATGCATTTGTGTAAGTTTTTATGTATAACTACATGTCTGACATAAAGTAAGCACTAAAAGAAAGAAAGGTTGGATAAAGTTAATCTGGGCAGGCTGCATTTTAAGATGCTTTTTACAGAAAAGTTCATGTTTAAGGTTATTTTATAGAAATTTGTTTTTTCCCAAAACTTATGCTTCATCTTAGTTTTCATTTCTGATGCAATTTCTTAGAACTGCTGCGTACTTGATTCTTATTGATTTGATTTTTCTCCTAGAGACAAGTAGATGATAGAGGTTAATTTGTCATCTAGTCCATTGATTTTTCTCCTAAGAGAATGGGTTTCAGCATTTTCATCTATTAATTGCTACTCATACCATGAGTGGGTTCTCCAAGCTAACTTCTGTTAATGTCTAATGTATTTTCTGAGTCACGTAACATTCCTGTAGTTATTATAGTATTTGGCCTTTATTGTTTGAACTCACGGTTTGTTCTTATTTCTAAATGCCTCAGGAGGTCTCCAAGGGAACGCTCAACAAATAGTGACCCTCTTCTCTGTCTGGGTTCTGAGCAAGTTGAGAAATAAAATAATGACTAAAGATAGAAGCCAAAATAACAAGGATCTTTGTCTCGAACTCCTGACCTTGAGCGATCCTCCCGCCTCGGCCTCCCAGAGTGCTAGGATTACAGGCGTGAGCCACCGCGCCCGGCCTAACAAGGATATTTGTAATAAAAGCTAGGGGGAAGGACAAAGTTTAGGGTGTTAACCAGATGGGCTTGCTGACAGGATTTGGAAATTTAAGCACCAAATTCCAGGCAGAAATGGACCGGAAAACCTACTCCACTCCCACTCACCCACTTGCCCCAAACTTTTTTTTTTTTTTGAAACAGAGTCTGGCTCTGTCCTCTGGTCTACAGTGCTGTGGCATCAGCCTAGCTCACAGCAACCTCAAACTCCTGGGCTCAAGCGATTCTCCAGCCTTAGCCTTCAGAGTAGCTGGGATTACAGGTGCACGCCACCACACTTGGCTAATTTTTCTATTTTTAGTAGAGACAGGGTCTCACTCTTGCTCAGGCTTGTCTCAAACTCCTGAGCTCAAGCAATCCTCCTGCCTCGGCCTCCCAGAGTGTTCGGATTAT